TTTTACACATTGATTCTATATTATATATTTAGAACAATTTTTATTTTATTTATTTGGTCCAAGTTGCACTCGAGTACTCAGTTGGGCAAGAGGCAGAGACTCACCCAAGTTTGAAACTAGTACATTTCTTATAAAAGAAAAGGAGAGATAACTAAAATTTCCATTAAAAAGAAAAACAAAAGGAGACTAATAAAAAGGGAAAAAGAAAAAGATGTATACCCCCTCTTTAAAATCATAATCTCAATGGTAAAAAGTAAATGGTCTCTTTATAAGCTTCCCCATAAAAAAAAATAGGTTGAAAGAGACATATCAACCTCCATTTATACAAGAAAATTTGTTTCATGCCGTAGGGACCGCATTTTTGTATTTACGGTCCCTGAGGTCAAGGATGGATGCAAATAGGTGGTCCATCAAAAAACAATTAAAACTATAAGTTCAAATGTTTTTTTAATAAAATTATTATTTTTAATTTTCAAAATTTATTTATTTTTTCATATTCATGATTTTCATGTTAGAGATTACATATCCTTAAAAATAGATCGAAAAATCCATCTCAAAAATAGATTTTAAAAGGATGACTCATTTCCATATGGACAAATAGAAACCGGGTCCTTTATACAATAGGTTATTAGAGAAAGACAGGTCAACATTGTAATTAAGACAATAAAAAAAAAAAATTGTAAGGTAGGCGTTAAGATCATTTTCTTTTAAGATGTACATGCTTTCTATCAACCTGATGGTTATTTGGGATTATGATTTTAAACAGAGAAATAGACTATCTTTTTTTTCAAATATAAAAAATGAATGCAAAGTTTTTCCCATATGAATAATGAAAAAATGCCACAAAAATATAAGAAAAGCAAAGGAAACACAAACCTTAAAGCTAATACCCCAAGCAATGAAATTGGGTGCATAAACTGCAAAAGTTGCAGACTCAGATGTCTCATTCTTAGCCCCACTGTCATTCCAAACTATCCACGTTTTCCCCTTCCCATTTCCTCTCAAGAAAATGTAAGGCTTCTTCTCTGGTATAATCACCTTCTCTCTATAAACAATAATAAGCAAAAAAAAGAAATAAAATAGTTTTATTTTCCATTTTTATAGAGAGAATAGATTCGAGGGAGGTTAAAATTACCTGTATACCCCTGCCCTGACGTGAATGGTGACCCAGTCGGAATTGCCTTCGGGCACTGAATCCACCGCCTCTTGCACGGACTTGAAATCTCCATCGCCATCGAGATCGACCTTAATCGTATGGCTACTAGGAATCTTGGAAGAAAGCAATGGCGAGTCTATCACCCTCTTCTTCTCGGAGTCCCCCTTCGCCGGAAAACCACAATTTCCGGCTACCAACACTGCCAGGAGAAGCACGGAGACCGCTTTGAAGGACTGCATATCGCCGGCAAGCTCGCCGGGAAAGTCCGGGATAGGGAGCAGAAAGATTTTAAGACGGGTTTTCCCGGCGACAAGAGGATTTAAATGCGGGTCCCACATGTTGGTTAAAAAAGCAATTAGGGGACGCCACGTGGTCGTCTGAGAATTAGAGGCGAGTTCAACGGCGAGGGTAAGGGGGATTCTGCTGGTGGGGCCCTCGCCATCGAAAAATAGGCCCTGTGTCGTTTGTCCCAACCTCTCAGGTTTGGCTACGTAACACTTGTGCTTGAAACGGATTTCGACAATGCCATGGTGAACGGACCCTATAAAACAAAACTTCCCAGGTTTGGCTTAGACAATCAGGCCGCAATCTCTTATAATTGTCGAATGTGAAATTAGATAGTCAGATATATATTATAAAATTCAAAATTTTACTAGTCACACCTCCAAATTGCTATTCTTCATATGTAACAATTAAGATTAGCCGTGACTTTTTTTGCACTAAAAATAGTTGTCTTAATGCATACTTTTGTATAGTATTTTGAAATCTTTCAATCTAGATTGAGAATCGTTGATCTAGAATAGAAAATTCCCTAGACCAAATTCATTCTTTGTCGGAATTGGAAGAAATTAGATTCTTATGGAATCACCCTGTTTGGCTGGGAGAGGAGCTCATACATTGTATTTTTTATTATTTTTCGTTTTGTTATGGACCAATCTCACATTTGAGAATTGGTCTGATTCACTAGTCTGGATAGATAATTCATCAATCCAAACCGGATTTATGGAAGACTGGTTTACTCGAACGATTTTGTTTTTCAACATTACTTTTACCAAAAAGTACATGAAAAAAGAAATGGCAAAGCCCATCACTCGCCCTACATGTAACATGTCAATTACAAATTATTTTACATGTTACGTATTTCTTAGATTAGACGTACTTGCTAGTTTGTGCCCCCAATGTTATGTCACATGCACGAAAATGCCCATCATTATTTTATGGAAAAATAGTTTATGCGTTGTTATTTCGTATAAAAATAGTTTCTATGCTAGGGATGCAATTCTACATCTATGTTTCTTGAGGCATCAAACATCCATCTTTAAAATAGATGACAGGTCCTCTTATAAAAACACAAGAACTAATTCTAAAATTCTTTTTTTCAAAACTTATATTTTGAGCTTTGGAAGTATATTTATTTTGCAGATTAATGATCTCCATGTTGGAGATTATATATTTCTATAAAATAAAGTCCAAAATTCATTTGAAAAATATATCATAAAGAGGGGATTCATATCTGTCTTTTCAGTAGGTGTCTCAATGTGAGTCAATTTTTTATTCCTAAAATATATCTTGACATCTTCTTGAGCTTATTTTGAAGGATCCATTGAATCTATCTCAGTTATACACTTGATTTTATTAATTAAAAGGTTTTTTCTTCAATGAATAGCCAAGATGGGTTTCTAATTGCCCTTACATAACATTGTTTGTGTTCTACTTGCTTTAGGCATCATCATCATGTTCAGATACTTTTTCAATTAATTTGAGTCGGCTAAACAAATCTTAATCCATCATTCTGGCGACTTTAATCCTTGACAATAATAGTTTGGTGCTTACCATTTGCTTTATATTTTCTCCCTTCCCTCAACGCCACCACCTATAGGCTTGGCCTATCCTAAAGTCACCAGGAAAAGAAAGTGTAGTGATCTTGACTGGGTCTCTATAACCATAGATGCTCCCCCTTAAATTTCAACAGAGGGAAATTTCCATTCAAAAAGCAATTCAAGTGATCCTGAAGGGCAATTCTACAACAAAGACTAGGTCTCCATGAGATTTCAGCAAAAAGAAATATTGCTACTTTTGATGCCATTATCTCTTCGTTATGTTCTTTAGAGATGGGAAAGAAAGCAAGTGGTCTTTAGGAACAACAGGTGCCTGTGAATTTAGATTTTGGGTATATAATCAGAAAAAATTAAACACCAAGAAGATTCCGAGAGATGAAAGGCTGATAGCTATAAGATTCAATAAGTAACCAAAAGTTTTGTCGAAATCCAAAAGGCTAAAAACTCCTAGACTAGAGAGAAAACAGGCCCCAGATTAAGATTATTATGATTGTTAAAGCAAAATCATGGGTGCATCACAGGCTTATGAAGTTTACTTTTAGCATAGATACAAAGATTTGAAAAGAATATAAGAATAAGATCTGGGTTGAGGGGTGCCACAACATGGCGTCTAGAAATCCATTCACACCAATTCTTTAAATACAAAAAAATGGAAAAAGGCAACGATAAGACAATGACCAAAATATCAAACATGCCATCCATGTCCTATCTTCTCTTCCTGAAATCAACGTTGAAGAGTTAGGGTGGATCGTACTCATGCATGAAGAACCCCATTATGAGGATCGCCCCTTAGAAGGAGCACAACCTATGATACAAAGGCTACGGATATGCATGTTAAGAGACGAATATAAAAAAAGCCATTTGAAAATCGGCTTTTACGGCATGGAGTTGATGTATCGTTTAGATGGGAGGTGAGATATTAGTCAGTAGAAAAGTACTTTATAGGGAGATTCCAACAAGAAAAATTAAGAAAAAATGTCTAACTTTCGTTTTTGTTATGGACCAATCTCACATTTCAGAATTGGTCTGATTCACTAGTGTGGATAGATAATTTGTCAATCCAAATTGGATTTCTGGAAGACTGGTTTACTCAAACGATTTTAATTTTCAACACTATTTTTACCAAAAAGTACATGAAAAAAGAAATGGCAATGGACTGGTGGCCCGGCCCATCACTAGTCGTACATGTAACATGTCATTTACAAATTATTTTACATATTACGCATTTCTTAGATTAGACGTACTTACTAGTTTGTGCCCCCAATGTTATGACACATGCACGACAATGACCATCATTCTTTTATGGAAAAATAGTTTATGCGTTGTTATTTCGTATAAAAATAGTTTCTATGCTGGGGACGCAATTCTACATTTACGTTGCTTGAGGCATCAAACATCCAGCTTTAAAATAGATGACAGGTCCCTCCTATAAAAACGTAAAAACTAATTCTAAAATTCTTTTTTTCAAAACTTATATTTTTAGCTTTGGAAATATATTTATTTTGCATGTTAATGATCTCCATGTTGGAGATTATATATTTCTATAAATATTCATACATCAAAACAACCTTCTATAATGGGTATATAAAGTGCACCTTAATCCTACATTTTTAAGTTGCAACCTTATATAGATCGTATTCCAAGTTAAATTCTAGAGAAAAGTATATATAAGGTTGCAATCTTATACTATTGAAGTAAGGTACACCTCAAAAAACTTACAGTTAAGAGTATTCCCGCATAGGGGAACCCTCCAATGATGATCACGACTTGGAGAAGAATGAACAAAAAAAGAATTTCAAATCCAAAAAATAGTGCATCTTGTATCAAATTATCTGGACCGTCTATTTTCAAGATTTCTAAATATTTCTTGATCTACTCGATTTGTACCATTTTTGAAATTTTAAATTTTATAACTGAGGATAAAAAAAGATTTGAAGCCAACATAAGGTTTTCAAAGCTGTAACGGCATCTCTAAGTAAATTTTATAGGTGCACCGTACTTCTACATTATAACGAGGCAACCCTAAATTCTATTGGATTTATGTAAGAGAACATTAACATAGGCACGGCACGATGCCCTACACTAAAACCTATATACATCAACGTCCATTTACCTAAGAAAGCCATGCAATCAATTGGTCCTTTTCCATCACCATTTCCCATTTTTGCCCATCTACAAATTATTAAACTCCAGACAAGCATTAATTCGCACCAGTCCCAAATTTGCCCACATATTCCCATATACCTACACCACGTACCCTTCCAATCAACCTCAATTTCCATTTAATGTTCTTTTTGTTCGTGCAATGCAAGAAAACATAACCAAATGGGTTGGTATTGCATGCTTAGAGGTTCACAAACGCCTTTTAATAAATCCAGATTGAAGCAGGCACATCTAAGGGCCAACAATGCATTTAGTTTTTATTTTTTCAAAAATAATATTGATCATAAATTTTGATTCTAGCTTCATTTTTTTAAATTAGAATCAAACAAAAATAATAATAAGTATTCTGATTAAATGATATTAACTAAAATAAATTTAGAGTTATTTTGGTCATTTTTATTTAAAAATATTTTTAATTATTTTATAGATATTGACTAAAATAAATTTAGAATTATTTTGGTCTTTCTATTTAAAACTATTATTATTATTATTATTTAATTATTTTTATAGAAATAAACCTACACCCCAAAATTTAGATAAATATTGTCTTTAAATAACCATAAAATAAAATATGACATTGCTTTTTGGCCATCAGATATGACCTTGTGAAATCGCATTCGTTGTAGTCCACATGATGTGGGCGAGATATTTTTCCTAAGTGAATTACCCTTTGGTACGTACTCTCAAGGCTCAATCACCAAATTGTAGCATTGTCGATTACACTAGAATATAAAAGGTATTGGGTACTGTAAGACTATTGAGTGTACAAGGATGTCATAATCATTTTTAGCTATTGAATGTGAAATACAATAGTTGTAGGTGTTTTACAAGATTTGAGAAATTTTATTTTAGATTTTGTGTCAAAACAATGACACATCCTCAGCCACCTGATTTCAAATCTAATGGTCAATGATGATTGTGACATTCTAATATAAAAAAGATAAATGGTCCATTTTATACTTTTCCGATATAAAAACACCCACCTAAAAAGAACAAGAGAAAGCTCGTTTAGGTTATGAAACATGAGATCAATTGAAGATTAGTTAGCGATTAATTGCCAATTTGAATTCTTGCAGCCTTGGAACCCATAGCTAAGAGCGGATTGGACTAGCAATTCGACTAGTCGGACATCTTATTGATGCATTGGCTATTTGGCTACAGATTAAAAACTGGGATTGACAATTTCGACTGGCTAAACAAAATGGGCAATTTTTTTCTTAATATATTTCATAACTTTTATTATTCACTCTCTTATACATTTAAAATCTAGTCAAACTAGTTTGACCAATACTGAGACCAATTTTTTGACCATACCCCTCACAAGTTTGTGGCGGATCCCATCCTCGTAGATTAGGCCCAAGCTCGTAGATACCTATTATAAAGAGAAAAAAAAATAAAGTGGTTTCTTTTGGAACAAGAATGTGGTTTTATTCTCAAAAATCAATGGAGAAAGAGTTGATGGTTAGTCCACGATTAAATGGGGATTCCATTATAGAAATAAAGGCAACAAATGGAGGGATCCAAAAATGTGCAAAAATAATTGTAGTTGGTGGTGGTTGGAGAAGTACGGTGCAGGCACAACTGTTGGCTTCTCATGACTCTCTGTCTCATGAAAGATGACAATAGCTTGCCTTTTGTGTTTTCTCTCACTAGAAAGCTGTTTTGTTCAAAATCAGACATAATTTCCCTTTTCTTGTCTCAAATCAATAAGTGTCCTGCTTCTCTCTGCGTGTCTTCTCTGTGTGTGTGCAGCCTTAATTTCATTCCATGTTTTATTCAAACTGTTTGGGTTAGAGGCAGAAAACATAAGGGATATATATATATATATATATATATATATATAATAAAC